AAGGAAGAAAGACTTAGTAGAATCACCACGACGCGCAACAAGGAAAAGGTGTGATACTTACTTTCACGGGCTTACAATAGAGCCTTCAACCCGCAAAGACATTTTGGGTTATGCGGCTGTAGCTCTATCGACGGGACCTACGAAATAGAGAAGGTAATTAAAAGACGAAATCATGAGTCAAAGGGTGGAATTGTACAATTAACAGAAAAAGGAAACATTCATGCAAAGAAAGGGAGAACGTTCCCAAGCATACTTCCCTGATAATTCGTTATAAAAGCCCTCCGTTTTGACATTAAGTGGGATAGGACCCCCATGACCCCCCAACTTCTGTAATCTAAAGAAAATTAATAAAATAATCAATTTATAAATTATAAAAACTGTCAAGAGACACAAACGTTCTTTTAAAAAGTCCCTATACTTACCCGGTAACTTGCTCGAAAGCTGCCTTAGCTATTGCCAAATCGTATCCGCCTCGTCTTGCTTTCGAGTAACGTTACGCGACGTCGACGTTTTTGAAGCGACAATTCGTCGCATTGGCTCCATCCTTGAGGTCGCCCCATTCCCCGTGACAATAGGTAAAAATCCAAAAATCACAAGACGAAGTCACAAGATTTGAACAACCAATCGGATAAAAAAGAGACATCATTTCAAATGCCTGTAAACCATACTCTATGTTGTACGTTGTACAAACTCTGTTCCTGGTACAATCGGTAAAAACTTTTGTAAATGTAAAAATTTTATATTTGCATACTTATTTTACATATGATAGTTTTTTTTGCAAGCGACCTCTTGGTCTTGTTGTCTTTATTAATATTGTAATTATTGTAATTATATACAATTTATTGCTTAAAAATATTATCAACTTATCAGGATTATTTTAACAAAGAAAATTTCCATTTGTACAAACCTCTTAGAATCACCACTCGGAAAAATTTAGCTACTATTCGCCAGCCAGTGTAACACGAAAAAACACAGAAAATCAAAATAAACCAAAAACTCACCATTTTACCTATGAAACTGCTTTCTGCACATTAACAAAAGGTTTCTTTGCGAAATTTTGGTATTAGGAAGGCTCTTTCTAACCTAACTTAATAGCAAACCCTAACCCTAATTTAACTGCAAAATTTTTAAAATACACGGAAGGTTGGAACCGGTTTTAATAATTTGGGTTTATCACATGAATTTTGTGATATTTTAGAGTTTATTAAAATTTGATTGGAAAAAAATTCTAAAATATCAAAATTCACGGATAAACCCGAATTATTAAAACCGGTTCCAACCTCTATACACGGGTTGATTTGACTTAATAAAATTATAGACCAAAAATTAAATTAGAGTAAGGTGGTGATACAAATTGGAATCGAAATAAATCGATTAGTTATTAGTTGACAACTAATCGACTGAAAAATGAATTAGTTGCAACTAATCGATTAAACGACCAGTTGCAACTAATCAATTAGTTGAAACCAACTGAAAAAATAATAACCAACTAATCGATTGAAAAAAATTGACGATTTGTAACACTAGAGTAAGGTTAGCTTTAGGGTTAGAAGAGGTTATGGTTTATACTAAATTTTACGCGGAATATTTTTTGATTAAACCCCGTAAGCTGTTTTGTTATTAGAATTTTTGAGATATCAATATACCTGTGAGTAAAATTAACAATAATTATATTAAATATATATTTAATAAACATGTAGTTTAGGCCGCTTGCAGTTAAAATTTCGTTTAACGTTATTTTTTTCGTATTCACAGAGAAGGTGAGAAAATTAAACAAACATAAAAAATAATCATATATTGTATTAAAAAATCCAGATCACTGTGCTGACCATTTTAGTGATTAATTTGTCTTTTTTTTTTTTGTTTAAGATTAGAGGGCTCAGAGATAATGTTTAAACAAAGTTTATTATTTATAGTACATATTTAAGTAAAAGAAGAAATATTAATTATTCAAAATCAAAATTATAAATATTAAATATTAAATACTCTAATAACAGAATTTAATAAATGTATAATATTAAATTTATAAATTTTATCGGTTAATATCAAGCTCAAATTCTTTACTTTGATAATTATGATTAACTAAATTTTAACAATTAATTTTTAGTAAGTATATAGGCAACATTTATTAATTATTATAAGAACTATACCTTGATAGTGTGTATCCTCATTATATTTTTGCCTTTTATTTTTATTATGAATATCTATTGTAAAATTTCGTATTACCATCATTATCATTATATTAAAGTTTTATTTATTACGTGGCAGATTTTCATTTTACATACCGTTATAAGCAAAATTATTTTCGTAAAGCTGATGCGTTTTTGGAATATTAAGTTTAGAATGTGAGGGTGATGCTGATTCTTGTTGATAATAGTACAAAATTCGGTTGCTGCATAGAAAACTTAAGTCCATTTTCGATAATTGTTTATTCTTGATCGATGTTTTTATTTCGTTATTTCTATTATCATTATTATTTAATATAAATAAGTAAGATGTATTAATAATTAAAATACGTAAGAACAATTAAAATAAAAATATACATTTATTATACTTTTTGTCGTCAATAAAATTGAATGAAACTTCTAAAATTATTTTATAAAAAGGTCAGTTTTATGGTTTATAAAACAAAATAAATTATTAATACAGTAATAATACCTGTTTTAATGTTGTTTATTGAATAGATACTTGATAAAATAGAATAATCTATATATTTGTAAATAATATATTTAAGTAAGCTCGTGCATATATTAAAATTAAAAAAAGAAAGTTATGGTAGTAATTTTATAAAACACACTTGTAAGAGTATTATAATTTAATTTCATCCGGAGAGCAGTGTTAACTAAAGAACTTAGTGATCTACTAGTATATATTGCTTGAGGATTTATTCTTTTGATATAAGTGTGCGTTATGTTTTCTGGGAAATTTATTTCTTTTCTACCTAATTTATTGATAATATACCGAGCAATTTCTACAATATCTGCAGCACTTGGTCTGTTTAACGGATTCGCGTCCCAACATTTTTCCATTAAATGAATATAAGGCTGTGGTAAATCGTTAATTATTTCAGGACGAAGACCATTAAGAATATCAAGAATAAGATATTCATCATGATTACGATCAGAAAAAGGCTTTTGACCAGTTATCATTTCCCACATAATCATTCCAAAACTGTAAATATCTGATGCTGTCGTATACTTTTCTCCATTAAATATCTCTGGTGCAATATATGGAATTACCCCATATATCTCTTTTGTATCTGTTATCTCATTTGCTGGTTTGCTTATTCCAAAATCTCCTATTTTTGCATGAGGTTCTAGACTATTTGTAAAACTAATAAGTATATTACCACTATGAAGATCTCGATGAATAATTTTTTTATCATGAATTGTTTTGAGTCCCGATGCTATATACATTAACATCACTAGTTTTCGATCCCAAGATATAGTAAGAAATTTCTCTGAAATATAATTATATAAATCACCATTTTCTGCAAAGGCCATTACAATCATGTAATCTTTTGTTTCGGGATGCTGTGTGATGCCGTGATATTGGATTATATAACCACTTGAACATTGAAAATAATTTTTTAACTAAGATAAGCAAAAAAAAGGTTAACTAACAATAATAAATTATGTGAATAATATCAATATAATTATATAAGAATGCGAACCTCATTTAAAAAATCATGACTTATAGCTTCAGAACTATTAAGACATTTAAGAACAACTGTTGCATTGATAATAGCTTCTGCAAATCTTCGCTTCCGACTATTCCATTCCGTTCTTATACCATTAACACATGTCGCTTTGTATATTTTACTAAATCCTCCCTCAGAAAGATAAATGATATCTTTAAATTGTTCATACGGAATAAATTCTATAAAAGCCTTTTGTTTATTTAGTTTAACAAGCAAATTATCAATAAATTTATTTCCACTTAACATTATCTGATTGCAAAAATTACATTGCTGAGCATTCTTATTATCATGAAGTTTTGACCTCTTACATTTATTGCACTTTTTAATTAAAGGATTTCTATTTTTGGTGACCTTATTTTTTCTGTGTGAAGTTGATAAATTATTATCGATGGCATTAATTATGTCCATGAGTAATTTTAAATAAAATATTATCGCTATTCGGAAGGATTTCAATTGAAAATGATAAAATTTTAGTTCTAACTTGTCTGAAAACACGAGCTATAATTTTATGCTTGTAGTTGTCAATTATTGTCGCTGCTTGAGCTGGAAATTTGAATTTTTTAATACAAATTTTCAGAAATTTTCGGGATACTTTTTTGGCTTTTTTTTTTCATAATTATGTTAGGTTTTAGATCTAAGGGATTTTGGTAGAATTTATATTTTTAATCGGAGCCCCCCAATTTCTGACAATTATTAACGTAACCTTAATAGAAAATTATCCGATAACAATAAAAGCGCAAGGAATTGAATAAAAGTGTAACAGAATATTCCTTTTTTTCCTACCAACTAGGAATGCAGATCGGAAAATTTATTAGATTTCTTAGAATATTCTACATGCCACAAATGCAGATCAGAAAATTCTTTAGAATTTTTAGAATCATTCAAATGTAAAGTGTCTATGTTCCGGTCATTTTTCGATTTATGTTGCTTCGAAATTAACATTTTGTTACTCATAAATTAAAATATAACACTTGTTCTTTTTTTTTTCTTAGTAAACGTGGGTCGCATAACAGTTGTTATACGCTAAATAGACTCACACAAACTCAAACAGAAAAATAAAAATAAATCTGTTATTGGATACGAAACATCCAATAGCTATTTATTATTTAACAATCAGTATCAACTTTTGTAAATATAAAAATTTTATATTCGCATATTCATTTTGCATATGCTACTTTTTTTTTGCAAGCGACCTCTTGGTCTTGTTGTCTTTATTAATTATTATAATTATTGCAATTATATACAATTAAGTTGCTTAAAAATATTAAAAAAAAAATTTCTATTTGTACAAACCCCCTTAGCATCACCATCCGGAAAATTTGGCTACTATTCGCCAGCCAGTGTAACAAGAAAAAACGCAGAAAATCAAAACAAACCAAAAACCCACCATTTTACTTATGAAACTGCTTTCTGCGCATTAACAAAAGGGTCATTTGTGAAATTTTGGTATTAGGAAGGCTCTTTCTAACCTAACTTAATAGCAAACCCTAACCCTAATTTAACTACAAAATTTTTTAAGTACACAGAGGGTTGGATTTTGTGATATTTTAGTTTATTAAAATTTGATTGGAAAAATTTCTAAAATAATTATTAAAACCGGTTCCAACCTCTATACACGGGTTGATGTGACATAATAAAATTATAGACCAAAACTTAAATTAGAGTAAGGTGGTGATACAAATCGGAATCGAAATAAATCGATTAGTTGATTAGTTGACAACTAATCGACTGAAAAATGAATTAGTTGCAACTAATCGATTAAACGACCAGTTGCAACTAATCAATTAGTTGAAACAAACTGAAAAATTAATGACCAACTAATCGATTGAAAAAAATTTGACGGTTTGTAACACTAGAGTAAGATTAGCTGTAGGGTTAAAAGAGGTTATGGTTTATACTAAATTTTACGCGAAATATTTTTTGATTGAATCCCGTAAGCTGTTTTATTATTAGAATTTTGAGATATCAATATACCTGTAAGTAAAATTAACAATAAGTATATTAAATATATATTTAATGAACATGTAGTTTAGGCCGCTTGTAGTTAAAATTTCATATAACGTTATTTTTTTCGTATTCACAGAGAAGGTGAAAAAATTAAACAAACATAAAAAATAAATATATATTGTATTAAAAATCCAGATCACTGTGCTGCCCATTTTAGTGATTAATTTGTGTTTTTTTTTTTGTTTAATATTAGAGGGCTTAGAGATAACAATGTTTATTATTTATAGTACATATTTAAGTAAAAGAAGAAATATTAATTATATTTTTTTTTTAAATATTAAGGTGAGTACTTGCGACCTAGGATTTTATTGATAGTATATTTGGCTAATGATTGCTTTACAACCACAGGGGGCAACCATAGAGAGAGTGTACAACTAGCCACTCATACAACTTTAGTCATTGTCTAATTTAAGTAGTCCGCTCGAAGGTTCTACACTAGCTGTCATACCTGGAACCCACTTGTAGATTCTCTATTTAATCACTCTGTTTTCATATCCACCCACCTACCTCTGTCTATCAATGATCCCGGCCAATGCTGGTGAAAATATACCATGGTCACTAAGTCTTTAAAGCAGTTCTTTGGAACCTTTGACCTTGTACTAAACCTTCCAGAATCTTCTGTATCCCATTCTTACAGCTGACTTGGTATTGCTATGGTCAAGACCAACACTAGTGGTCAGGGCATACTATTAAACTGCTATGCCTTTATAGAGTTTACCTCAATCCCGGTACTTATTTCACAACATATCCTTACTACTTTGGTATTCAATTCAAGTTCTACCAAGCTGCCATTCCAGATAGCCCAGAAAGGTAGGTCGAAACTATACACCTCTAGTTTACATGTTTGCCAGTATGTAAGCTTTTCCTCCAGAACTCAGAAATTCTGGCAGCCTAATTGGTTCATCTAGTCTTTCCCCAAGGACCAACACATTTGCCCAGTTTTACAAGTTCTAGCTCTATTTTATAAGTCTGTTTTTATAGTAGCACTGTCGAAAGCTCGAGTTACCTCTCTACTCAGGTCTTCCAAGTGGGCTTCCATCTTTCTTCTATTGGTTTTTATGATTTACATAGTCACAAGAACTTATTGTAGGTTGTATTGCCTGGTACTGGTTTGCATTCCTTTATGTAACCACAGATTTTGTCCAAAAGGACAATATCATGTGACTGTTACATAAATGTCATGTGACCTGTCAGTTATGCTGGTGTGATATAGGTTACAGGTGTCTTATCCCAACCAATTGTAAGAAACAGGTAACTATAACACAGAGAGAATTTTCAAATTTTCTGTCAACACTGTGATTTGAACTCTGGACCTGCTACTTGGGGGTTGACAACCTGACCATTTCATTAGGTCGTCACACCCCTCAGAAATATTAATTATTCAAACTCAAAATTATAAATATTGAATGTTAAATACTCTAATAACAGAATTTAATAAATGTATATTATTAAATTTATAAATTTTATCGGGTAATATCAAGCTCAAATTCTTCACTTTGATAATTATGATAAACTAAATATTAACAATTAATTTTTAGTTAGTATATAGGCAACATTTATTAATTATTAAAAAACTATACCTTGATAGTGTGTATCCTCATTATATTTTTGCCTTTTATTTTTATTATGAATATCTATTGTAAAATTTTGTATTACTATCATTATCATTATATTAAAGTTTTATTTATTACATATCAGATTTTCATTTTACATATTATTATAAGCAAAATTATTTTCATAAAGCTGATACGTTTTCGGAATATTAATTATTCTTGCTCAGAACTCTTTATTAGACTTTCACGAAGATACATTATGGGAGTAGTACTCTGCTTTCCAAATTCTCTTCTGTGTATTATATCATAACTGCACTTTTACAATTAATTTTATGATCACTGGACTTATGGTTATGTGACAAAGTATAAGTGAGGATCAAAAGTACATGTCAACACTTCGGTATGACACATTCTACTTTCTTTATACATACATTCTTTTTTTTTTTTTTTTTTTGGCATATATTCTTACATAATGAGGCAGAGCTTATGGTGCAATGAGTAAGGAAGGGGTGGGAGGGCCCAACACAAAGTTAGATTATAATCGGGCAATAAAAAGAACAAATAAGCAAATAAAGTAAGAAAGTACTGCTGATTTACCATTTTCTGTTCACTTATTTATAATCCTTGTTATTTTTCCCACATGTATTTTTATTTTCTTTTTCCCATGTATATTTATCATTTCTACACATTCATATGCATAACTAATACCTTATTTATACATAATTATAATCTTATTTTATGCATAACTATTATCTCATTTTTATTTATAACTTTTCCCTAATAAATTATTCACATGTAAACTAATTCACTACCAAAATTATATTAGCCACAAAATCTGGTTATTCTCACGATAATAACCCTAGCATGACTAATGTCAATGCATAGAGTTATTATTCTCACTCAGAACTCTTTATTAGACTTTCATGAAGATACATTATGGGAGAAGCACAAAGGATCATCTATTTTTTTTTTTTTTTTTTTTTTTTAAATCCCATTCTTGCTCAAGTGTTTTGTAAAGTTGTTGAGACTAATCTGAGATATAGTGTTATTGACTGTGATAACTACTCTCTAATACTCATTATTTGAAGAAGCATAAGGCTAGCTTTCATTGTACCTGTAGCACCACCTATACATATACTATGGCTGAAATACTTACCTTCTAAACTTGCATGTTGCATTATCCTTTTTATAGCAGCATTTACTGCTCCAGTTGTTATTTGCCTTCCTAATATATTTTTGAAGAGTGAATCCTCACTTTTTTTTGCTTCTCTTATTTCTAAATATTTATACACTAGTCTTACTAGACAATATGAGAAATTTGTTGATTCAATTAAGATAAATTTCCCTTTTGCCAGTTGATCAGTTTTTGACCTATTGATTCTAATTCAGTAAATTCCATTTTCTATTTTTAAGTCAGCTATTCAAAGGTTATAAAGTTCTGATGGTTGTTGCATTGTATAGAGGCCCAGGGCGATCATTGCACAATTTCTTCTCCAAATTTCATTTGATATACTAATAGGTGAATAATTGATATAAGTTCTTAATGCTTCCACTAATAATGGGTCTTATGGCCAGTATGTCTCATGATCTGCTACTGCAAGTTTCATTAGATTTCTTGCTAGTGTCTAAATGTTAAATTCTGTAGTTAGGTCTGGGAGCCTCAGCTTTAGGTGGGCACAACTGATCACAATTAAATACATTCTTGGCTTTATAGATTGTAACAAGATATCTGTCTATACTAGGAATGATGATGGAACTAAGATGTACTGGGCTCAGGGCTAAGTTGTGAAATCTGTAAAAGGTGATGAACTCATGCCATAAATTTTGAAAACATTTTTCATATGCTGA